ACGTTCTGGGGAACCAAATACTATCGCATGCCACTGATGAAAGGGATTTGGGAGTTGTGGTACAGGAGGACGTAGGATGTTCCACGCACTGTGCCAGAGCATCATCCATGGCTCTAAAGCAAGTGGGACTAATCAGATGTATTTTCGGGCAGTTCGAAAGAGCACTGTTCCCACGCTTGTTATCCGCGTTCGTTCGGCCACACACAGAGTACGCCGTTCAAGTATGGAATCCATGGTTAAACCGCGACAAGTAGGCTCTAGAACGTCCGCAAAGGCTGGCAACGAAATTAGTGAAAGGTCTATATAACAAGAAATACTCCGAAAGACTGCAAATATTGGGACTCTACTCATCCCAATACCACCGACTTCGAGGGAACCTAATCTTGGCATATCATATACTGCATTAACCCAACCACCCTTGCCGTTCTCTGCTGACTTCATCTCATAATGATCACTTCAGGGGACAGTCACTAAAGGTGAAGACCCAGAACAGCCACCTTGATTGCCGGTACCACTCGTTTGCAGTCAGAGTATGCGGCGCATGGAATTCTCTCCCATCTGATGCAGTGTGTGCTCCTACAATTGAACTATTTAAATCGCAACTTCATAAAGCATTGGAACACTTAAAATTTCGACATTCGTGAGTGATCACGCACATTATTATCATTGGTATTTTCTCTTTGTGAAGTTATTCCAAATATTCTGTAAAAATCCTATGGGGCATGATAAGCTTTAGCTTTTTTAAATCGCCCATAATAAAACTTTGACTTAGTTCATGGAACCGTGTATGATGAACATACGAGCGACGATTATTGCTGCATCCGATCGCAGTTGTTCTGTCTGACCTGTACATTGCTCCAAGCAGATGTGATTCTGGCCGAGAGGTTCTAGTGACGAAAAAATCACCGAGAGATGCTATTTTCACAACGCGGTGTCCTAAAACCACTAAATGGTGATTGAGGTTGCTCGATACGGTATGCATTTTGCAACCACCACCTGCGGTATGCTGCAGCGGGGTTGGTAGTAACCTGTTTCTGCACCACTTTTGGTAATAACATCCTGGAATCGTATGGACAAAAAGCGAAACGGTTTGCCCGGAGGTTAAGTGGATAGTGTCCATGGGTTTTACCTCTGATGTTCCGGGTTTGATCCTCAGTTGGACCGATCTATTCGCGCTGCTGATGAGACTCAATGAGAGTGAAATAGCTGCACCGTGCTTCCAAAGTTTATTTTCAGTTGAAGCTTCAATTGCTCTGTACAAGATGAAATTCCCTATAAAATCGTGGAAGTGGTCGAGAACTTTGTCTAACTCGAGAGTGGCATAAAGGCTGGCAAAAATGTGGCATTTACCAAACTGCGAAAACTCTACAGCCGGTACGATATGTCCCTTTCAATGAAAGGATATGTGCATAACGTAAAGGTACATTTCACCTCTCCAAGCAAATCAGATCCAACGACTATCTGTTTTCGATAACTCTTGGCTGCATATTATAGCGAATGTACTGAGAGAGATCCTATCGAGAATCAACTGAAATGCGGAAAGAAATTACAGCGATTGATGCTGCATTCAGATACCGTGATTGTGATCGTTATTGTGGTTGGTGGTGGTGGAGGAGGGTAATGTCATTGTAACTATGATTTGATTGTATAATTGATCAACACGCATGTCTCCCAATCGTAAAAACAGGATAAAAATGAACATGGACGATTTGGTTCCAGTTACTCTCCGTGAAAAACCGCCAAATCTGTCAAAACGCAAAACTAGCAATGAACAAAATACTCGAATGGTATTACTTAAAATAACTAATGACAGGGATCAGATGTACGGTATTATTTATATGAGACGATAAGGTCTTATAGAACAGGTAATGTCTACCATAAATCGTCATCGCCATCGCACAGTGAAATACAGAGATATTCGATGAATTCGATGACTTAGCAAATACATCCCCGATAAACACCCAAACACAAGACATTCCAATTTCATTAGCTATTGATGCCAACTAGTTCTCATGGTCCACCTTGAGGCTCTTCATTAGAGGATGTTGCATACGCCACCTAACCCTGCTCCGATCCCGGTAGGTCGGGATTTGTTTTTTTCTCCATTAGAGCTACTGACTCACGAGATATCCAATGCCTCCGACGGGCTTGAGGCTGCAGAATGCATTCCACCGCTCATCTGCACTATCACTTTGAAGCGTGCATAGTTCACGTACTAGCTTTGAGTCATTGTGTGCATGAACTACTGAGACAGACAGACGATGACGACCTATCCGAGTTAGCTGGTTTTGTCACCGGCCACAATGACTACCACAAGTCAAGGATGAAGCGAAGTGGAGTCCTATTTACTTAGATCGATTAATAGTCCATCATTTTTACCGACTGAAAAGCAAATTTTAATCAAACCCCCAGTCCGGAGGACCAGGAGTGTGGACTTCATCTCCACCCTTTGGCCTTCCAGGCATGATTAAATATTCGGCCTCAAAAAAGCCTCCTTGTGTAGCTCGTTGAGTCAGAGGTGTACAAGCGATCACAACACGTCAACGTGCTGTCTCGTCGTTTGCCACCCAAAATTTATTTGAAAACTAAAAAAACTGGATGTCGGTACCAGGTTTCAAACCTTGGAAATTAGACAGGAGCAGAGTAGGGAGGGCGCATCAAACAATCTACATGTAAAATAAGTCGAGTATGGAGCACAACTGTTCCCAATGTCCTCGGTTAGACAAACGCAAACTGCGTGCAAATTTGACTCGGATCTGTTATGAGTAAAAAGCCTAAATATGAGCACGGAGTCATAAAATAAAATGGCATTTGGATTCTCAACATAAAACTGATCAAGAAGACCGTAAAAAAACGTGCAACACTGCTGGGATCATTGACACTTTCAGTCAGCAGAGACATTATGTATTAAGAGCAGATGGTTAGCAACATCGTTCAATGGATGGACCAAACCCAAATCAAATTTGACACCAAAGTTTAATCGGTCAACGAACGATTTCCACCATTCACGTAGTCTGCCTGACCCGGGCCGTTGCATACAGGCACGTGAGAACAAAGTGACCAATAAAATTTCAAAGGGCGTGACAAACACACGCATACTCCAAGGGCGTTGCCTTGCAATGATAGACAATCAGAGATGGAAGAGGTGGGGAAACGAAGTCCATCGTCCCGTAGCAGCCTGGGTCGTTTGATCAAGCCTCATCTAATAGTAATATCAGGGTGTGTGTGGGCGAATATAACAATTACAGGACACTGAAACGCCATAGGTAATGACAAGTGAGATAGTGATTGCACTACCACTGAGAAACAATATCGCCGCACGGGACGTTTTCCTTCGACAAACTTTAGCAAAGTCTATCTAACCTTAGCGCAACCTGCAACATACAAAAACATTCGGTTGTGGTAAGCAGTGCTCATATTTATGAAGTAAAAATGGACGATTCGGGACGGTCATTGGCTAGAAATGACTCATCGGTATACCGATTGATGAATGGGCTACGATTCGAGAGTTATCCCGGTAATTACAGAGGAAATACCGTCAATTTCGGATGTACGTTTTATTATTATTATTTAAATTCTCTTTCCACTCAGTTCATCTGCATATAGCGTGGTTTCTTATTCTGTTTCAATTTGAGAAAACAGAATTTTCCGAATTATGGTATCATGCAATGGGAAATATTAGATCAACCAAAACAGAAAACTAAGCCACATTTAGTCATCGAAACAGCACCGTGTGAGAAGATGGGGGCATGGAATTTGTCAGATAAGAGTGATTTCGACTGTCAATAAATACATCCAGAGAAAGATACTGACATCACATATGAAGCAGGTATTTTTGTATACACGGTTTGTATTTTCACCTATTACAACTATCGACAGACAGAATTCACAACGGTACATTGTTTACAAAACACTTATGAATATCAAAGTCAAAGTTTTATTATAGGAATTCCTTACAAGCTAACAACTGAATATTTTCTCAGCAAAAGATGATAGAATGTCTCATATAGTTCCGGGTAGGAGATAGCACATGTAGTCTTCAACTAATTTGCATTGTTAGTTGTATAGGAATGTGAGATGTGCTGGGGTCTCATCAAGTCTCCGCTTGAAAGATTCAACAGTTTGCGCACAAACGACGTGAAATAGAGGGGTGTTCCAAGTATTGCACACTGACTGCAAAAGACTGACACCGGCATTCCAGTCGACAGTTTGGAATCAGTAACTTGAAACGATGTCCCCTAAGGTGTAGGTTGAGCGACAACGAGAGTAGCGGCCGACATGGATGGTTTGGGTTCTGCAGTACTGTATACACCAAAACCAAGTCTCCTCGAATTCGGCGTTACTGATCAGAATATAGTCTCAACAATCGTAAGCTCTCCTCATAGGTGAGGCAGTTGAATTCCTTGACCATCTTAGTGGTAATCACTGCTGAACACTCCAACATTATACGATCACATGGCAACCATGGGCTCCAGGCTTGGATGACGTACTTTGTGTTCGCTCGAATGTACACGGATTGCGAACGTGGAAACAATAACACTGATTCGGATAACACTGAAAGTAGGATTACGGGTCGGTCGGTGGTTAGCGGGGTCACTACGACAACCGCATCCATTAGAATAGAATGGCTAGGGGTTCGGATGTTATTCGCTAAAAAGATAAGCTATTTCGGTGTGAATCGTTCGCACCTCGGTTTGCATTTCTTTTGCAAAGCCATTAATTCTGGTTTAATGTTTTCATCAGTAAATGTCACCTGATTTGGAAAATGAGAGAGCTGTAAACCTTCAACATTTGTTGCGACAACAACTTTGGAATACTGAGTGTTCAGTATTTCAGCTGCTTCCGTTGTACATGAAACTGGTCAATCAGTCGCTGATTCCAACAACATGATAAAGGCAAATAAACAATTGATAAATTCAGTTGTGTGAGTGCAAGCCTCATATGTGAGAATGATTATATAAAGTCAGAGTGAGTCTCGAGTCATGAACAACTAAGACAGCACGCACACAGATGCCTCAGAGAGAACTAAGTTACTTGGCACAGATGATTGGCCACACATATCTAAACCGGACCAGGTGCACCCCAAAACCAAATGACGATAATACCCCTTGGATGGTCATCTCTATCGCATACCAACAAGCATTACGAATCGGAAGAAACCACGACAAAACTGATCTAAAACACCATCCACATCACCCGCCTCCGGGATTATTCAGGATTATTCACTTACGCCAGTGATTTCGTCAAGCTAGGTTGCGTCCCAGCTGTGTCATCTGTAGACAATGGAGATCTCTCTGCGTCAGAACCACGAACGGGTAAATCGATCCGCTCAAACAGAGGATAAATTGCCTGCATTCCGCCCAGACTATGCAGAGCACTTTGTATGGATACTGCAGTCACCGCTTGAACTCCCTGTTCCATCATGAAAGTCCAACCGAGGGAAGAAAAGAAAGAAAAACATGGAGGGACAGAGAAAGACCGAGATGAGTGATGTTGGAAACATATTTGAAATGCATGGTTAATTACGTTTTGACTTAAAAAAGGAGCGAAATTCAAGGGGGCGGACGGAGGGCGATAATCTCTCACGAAGAAATCCGATCGAGACGTACTAAGCGATCTGATTTGCATAGTTGAATACATCAGGGCATGATTGGACCACACGCAACGTCCATGTCCTTTGTGGATGTGCTGCATGTAGACCAACCAAGGTGAAACCGCACATTTCTACCTTGGATACTGTCAGTCATTGCGAAAGATCGTCAGCGTTCAATTTGATAACCAAGAAGAAAAAATATCCGAGATAAGTAGCTGTATCCTTCATCAGCGATGGACAGGACGATAGATAGGACGTAGCGGACCACTGTTGTATTGTCCACCAAATTTTCTATCATTCACGTGCAAACACGAGTTGGGCGAGTTGACCTCCATAGATGAAGATGGATGGAGCTCGTGTTAGCCATCTCACCATACAGGTTTCCTAGGCAGATAATGTTTATAGAGGCCAGCAGTAGGTGAAGAACAAAGGTGATCAAACTGTTCTTGTATGAG